CACCCACTGCCTGGAGTCCATTCTGACCCACAGCGCCCCTAGAGGACAGAGTGGAACTACCCACAGGGTCTCCAAGGCTGTCAGTCTTCACGGAAGCAAAGCCCAAATCACACCCACTGCCTGGAGTCCATTCTGACCCACAGCGCCCCTAGAGGACAGAGTGGAACTGCCCCACAGGGTCTCCAAGGCTGTCAGTCTTCACAGAAGCAGACAATCACGTCTTTCTCCCCCAGAGCAGCTGGTGGTTTCAAACCACTGACCTTCTGGTTAGCAGCTGAATCTTTTAACCACTGCGCCACTTGAGCTCCCTTTGTTGGGGGGGCAGGGCAGACCACAAAAACACGTAATTTCCAATGGAGTCCTGGTTCACGGGGCACTCAATGTCCTGTTCAGAAAATAGCTTGTATCTACTTGTGTGGGGAGGGGGGCTGGGCTTTTCTGTTCCAGATCCCTAATTTACAACACGAAGTAAAATTCCACACACACGCTGCTGCTTCTGGCACCTGTCGTGGATTATTCAGTGAATCTCTGCAATAACCTTACCAAGTCAATACTGTCATGTCCACTCAAGAGTCTACCTTCACAAACATGGATCTACGGGTTGACAGACAGGTGGACAGGCTGAACAATCCAGGTATGTCTCGGCAGAAGGGAGTGTGCCCATGACCATGTATAGCGTTGGCAGACGATGGTTCTACAAGCGTATTTGTATGTCCTGTAAGAATGCCCAGGTATATAGCAGAGCTGACAAGGGGCAAGGCTGCGGTGACTTCTTGGCCACAGAAAGCTACCCAGAGGGAGTGAATGGTCAGATCTGTGGGCTCAGGACTATAGTCACAGGGACATCAAGCTCAATTGGCATGAAAACAGTGCTCCACATCCTACTCTGGTAAGTCGTGACTGGGGTCTTAAAAGCTGCAAGCAGCCATCTGATGTCAACGATGGGTCTCTCCTCATCCAGAGCAAAGAAGAATGAAGAAAACCAAAGAGACATGGAAACTACTAGTCCAAGCGACTGGTACACCATGCAATCCTCAGCCTATATGACTATGAGACCAGAAAAACTAGATGGTGCCCAGCTACCACTGTCAACCACTCAGAGGGAGATCTGTGTAGGAGATCTTGGATAGGGAGGGAGAACAATGTGGAACAAAACTCAGATTAATTTGAAAAAAAAAAAAAAGGGACCAGGTTTGCTGGTCTGATACAGCCTGATGGAACCCCTGAGGACTATGGCCCCTAGCTGCCCTTCAGGCCTGGAATTGAACCCACACCTGTGGCTTCCAGCCAAACAAAAGCCAGGCATATGAGCTGAACGTTTACATTAGGTAGATACATTCCCCGGAGAGAACAATCATGGAAGAATAGAAGGGCTGTGTATGCACAGGGAGACAGCTCAGGGGGCAGGAGTGCATGGAGGATGGGCACAGAGAAGAGGTGGCTATGGAGACCAAATGGTAAGAGAACTGTTGCACTGTGGGAGATTACAGTCAATGTCATGAGACAAAGTGTATGTGAACTGCTGTATGGAAGATGAATTTGATCCAAATCACAATAAACTTAAAAAAAAAAATTCAATTATGAGGCCAGGCAATATTTACAAAGGACTGCCTGGAGGTCCAGTTTGTGGGGTAACACATGTGCTAATTTACATATTTCAACTACACAGAGGAGAGAGAGGAGTTAAGGAATGCCAGCTCTTCCACCAAGAGCGAATGCTCAGAGTGAAAAGGTGAACTGGTGGTCGTCCCTGCTGGGCATCTCGGTTCCCACACGCCTCAGGACCAAGACCATGGCCGGTATCAGGTATCGTTCCAGGGCCAGGAAGATGGAGAAAAGAGTTTTTCTGTGGAACATGGCACCCAAATGTGAGCCAACTTCTGCCCCCTAAGTCCCCTAAAGAGGCAGTTTGTTGGCAGAAAGGTGATGCCAGGGCAGAAACTGCTCTGCTGGACCGTCCACGAGATCCTCACAGGCAGTTCTGCCCACACACACTGTGGCCTTATGCACCCACTGTGGACTCTGACTCCACAGTGCCCCACATCTCACCCCTAGGTTAAGCCAGGCTCTCAGGGCACTGGACGTTTACACAGCACTGTTGCATGCTGGATGCCATCAAGTCGATTCCAACTCATAACAAACCCAAAGGACAGAGCAGAAATGCCCCATAGGATTTTCTAGGCTAAATCTTTAGGGAAACAAAACCCAAACCACACCCACTTCCATGGAGTCCATTCTGACCCACAGCGCCCCTAGAGGACAGAATGGAACCGCCCACAGGGTCTCCAAGGCTGTCAATCTTCACAGAAGCAAAGCCCAAACCACACCCACTGCCGTGGAGTCCATTCTGACCCACAGCGCCCCTAG